AATGTTTTTGTTAAATACCAACTCTCTCTGTATGAGTAAATCGCATGTGATATCAAGCCAACGCTCAGGATTTATGTGCTCACACTATACACCGGTACTGTGTAGCCTCCATCGCTTACGTCCAAACCACACGCCATGTCGCCATGGTTTCGTTTCTGTTTTCACTCAGACGCAAGGAAAAAACACTGAGTTTAGGGCAGTCAGTTCGTAGCTCTGTTTCAATTGAGCGATACCCTCACAGGGGCCGACCAAAATTTATGACATGTCAGAAATTCATCCGACCATCCAATTGCCGGTCGGAAGAGGCTAACCGCCTCTCGTTGCCCCATGTACACTGCACAACAAAGCTGAAATTTGTCCCAACTCAAAAAATAAAAGTCGCACGAGTCAGAATTCGGCTCAAAATTGGCCAAAAATCGCACAGTGTATGCCCGGCCTTGGGTTGGGTTATTAAAGGGACAGTTCAACCAAAAATAACCTACCATCAACCAACATTCTTCAAAACGTCTTCTTTTGTGTTCAACAAAAGAAAGAAATTCATACAGGTTTGAAACAACTTCAGGGTGAGTGAAACGATGACAATTTTCAGTTTTGGCTGGATTAACTCTTTTAAGAGATCTCGTTAGTTTAGTGTTCTTTGTCAGATGGCAGACCTCTCTAGGTGAAGGTGAAGAACACGTAAGTGTCTGCTGCATGTATTTAATCTGATCACATGAACTAAAACTCTGAATACAGGTCAGCAGGTTCTCTGTTGTAGTGTCTCTGGAAACAATTTCCAATGGGTCTCCAAAGCAAAGGTCATCAGCAGACGAAAGTTCTTCGACAGTCTGGGGTAAATCGGGCTCGGTAACTGGAAGTGATGTCACAGAGGATGAACACTAAGCATAGTGCATAATATCTGAAAGACAGCATGTGGATTTAATTGAAACATGACAGGGGTCACTGCAAGGTCTCTCACTGTCTGTCTGAATTATGTCACTGAGATCCTGTACTGTCTTCCTCAACTAACTAGAAGCCATAATTGCAATCCTGTGGGATTCTATTGACTTAACTTTGGATGCATAGGAAAGACTGGAAGACATGCAGCAAGCATGTAACTCGCATGAAAGCGCAATCGCCATACATCGACTTGACTTTGAGAATTAGTCTTGACAACGGCTGAAACTCCCAACATGAGAGCATGAGGCTGGAGTCATGCAGAGTGACCAGTCATGCCTGAACTTCATTCTACGTCTAGCTCGAAAGCCTCGGCTCTGGCAAAGGTCGCTTCTGTTGACTAAACCCTGTGATCTGGTGACAGAAGAAAAGCGTATCTCATGAGGATTGCTGCCTTGACACCAAAACAACTGGGTAATTTTGCTCTTTGAAGTCCTCAGCGTTCAATAAAGGATCAAATGCTTGACTGTAGGACCTTTGGTCTCGGGGTGAGGTTAAGTCCCAGGTGTTGTTCACTTGATGGAGTCTTGAATCACTGCTCTAGAAACGCCTGGATTAATCTGCTTACAGCTGCTAATGATATCAACTAGCCTAACAAACTTAAATCTGATCCACAGCCAGTGGTTGTTGACATCTGACTCTCTTTTCGCCCTGAAATCTAGGAGCGCTTTCTTCCGTTATTTTCAGGCATCCACATCAATTTTATTGCTGCCTTTTTCTGTTCTATAAAATACTGTCATCTACATGGAGTGATATCAATTATTATCCAAGATGTTCTTTTTACAATCATCCGTGCTCCCAGCTTTGTGTGAATTAGTGGACAGAAGTGTTGCTCGATACAGTTGTGCCTTTCAGGGTTGCCAACTTTGCTTGCTTGGCTGCAGTGAGATTTTGATGACATGGGCTGAATCACCTGTTTGAGGTTGTAAGGTTCCACCAGTTCCTTTTTAAGTTCATCTTAATAATGCAAATTACCCAAACACTTGAGCTTAATGTTGCACTAGATGCACTTTTTAGAAACTGTCCGTAATTACCTTACCTACCATATACACTGGTTAGCTAGTTAGCTAATATTAACACCCAATAATTACATTATTAAAAAAACCAAAAATGTTATTATTTTGAATGCCCTACATCAGGGGTCTTCAACTAAAATTGCTTGAGGTCCAGTAATGAACCCTCCTCACCTGCCGAGGTCCAGACAATTCTTTACCTATAAAGTAAAACAGCCTATTTTCACATGTATGAATAATTCTAAATACATTATCATGCCTTTATTGTATGTCACTTCTTTGCAGACTGTTAGTTAAATGACACATTTTGACAAACTTTTGACATTTGATTGCTTTTGTTATTTTGATAATTGCATTAAAGCTGATATAGGTAATATTAGGCCTTTTTTTGTGAATCAGCAGATTGTTTTCGTCAAGATGCAGGGCTGTGTTATAGATGATAAGAAAAAACAAGGCACAATCAAAGTGTAAACAGGTCAGAGGTGAATATTCTGTAAGAAAACGTTACCGTCATTTATTGTTATTGTAGGGCCTAAATGTAAATGTAACATAATTCCTATGATGTTACTGTTGTAGAAATATAATTTCTTGCATAAATTTTATTATGCATGAAAATGCATATTTTAATCTAAAATTAGCACTCTGATTGATGTGCGGTTGTGTGCGCTTTTATTTTTTTTATGCCTTTTATTTTGTGTTATCTTGTTATTTTCCGTGAGATGTTCTGTAGCGTCTCACTGCAAATGCTTGAGAGTTGGCATACCCCCTTTTTCAATACTTCCCTGTAAACGTACAGTATGTGTGCTGTGCTAATTACAATGTCTAATTATCGTTGCACATCGTGGGCGGTTCACGCTCGGAATCACGCGAGCGTTGTTTGAAAAGTGTTGAAATCTTTCAGCAGTTACCTCCCATACAGGCATTAATTATGTGATGAGATGTGTATCCTCTACACACACTGTGCTCTTGGATTGGGGTTGTTTAGTCTGGCAAGACCTGCATGGTTTCGCTCGCGGATTACTTAAGCATGGTGTGAATGCAACGTTCCTTGAGCCAGTGAGACCAGATCTCTGCTCGACTGTGTAGGCATCACAGTCTGGGAAAAAAGAGCATAAACCAGTGTTTTCAGCAGGGTAGATCAACATTAACCTCTGTAGACAGGACATACAGTCTTCAAAGTCGCACTGATGTAAGCGTTTATAAGATGTAGATGACTGTGAGAAGGCGTGTACACATAAACATCTGTTCAACTCACATTATGGACCAGCAAATTGACCTTAAACACACATTAGAGACTTCAGTCCTTGATTGTACTTGTGTCATCCAGACAGTGCTGAATGTGTCTCTTATTCACCCTCGTGCATAAATCCTCAACTCAAAAGCAACCTGCTTTGCCTCTGTCTTCTCTTCCCAGAGTTCAGCACATGTTTTACAGCCTATTGTGTGTATGATTGCCTCGCAATGAACTTAAGTGTTGTTGGCAGCGATGAATGATAATCAGATGCACATTGGGTTCAAACAGGTTCTCAGAAGGGCTTTTCTGTTTGTTTGGAGAGGAGCTTATCCTCAGAGCCCAATTGAGGATAATTATCAGACCGCGCTGAAGTGGCGGCGCAAACGAGTTCTCGCTCTGACCTGGCGTGACGTTTGGATGAGGGCTTGAAGAGTCCTTGGGATCTGCAGATTGCGAGGGACGTGAAGCTTGTTAGGGTTAATGACAGCACAGCTCTCCAAAGAAATGTAATTTGGGCGTTTATGTCATAAACTGAGCTCAGAGTCGGCTCGATGTGAAGTACTGCACCTCCAGTGTGATCTGTACTGCTTCTTGAGGAATCACGCTTGGGAAATCAGACTCCAAATATATCTTTAATCCAGATTTTTAAAATCTAAACGTGTCTTGAGAACATTAACAAAGTGTCTGTTTTATGTTCCAAAGCACATTAACATTATGACAGTGCTCGTAAAACCCTGTGCAGGTGTTCCTCAATCATCCGGCTCAGCGTCTGTTCTCAACCTCTTACGCAAAGTAATACATTCAGCCTGAACTTCTTAAAGTACAGACTCCATTCTGACTTTGATTTTTAGATCATTTTAATCGGAGGTGTGTTGTTTTCTATTGCATTTTTTTTTTTTTTTGCATTTTTTTTTTTTTTTGCATTTTTTTTTTTTTTTGCATTTTTTTTTTTTTTTGCATTTTTTTTTTTTTTTGCATTTTTTTTTTTTTTTTACAATAAATTAAGATTAATTAATTGAATTGCAATTGATCTTTTGTCCTGCATCTGTTTGCATACTGAGTTTTGATTGGTGTGTTATCTTTCACATCTATTTAATCGTTTGTCTTCACTGTTAACTGTGGCTACACTAGGCTTTGAGCTTATGAAATTACTTCAATCGCTGCAAACCGTGCAGCTTTAAGTTTATGCATCAGATTTCAGTTTGTGTTGTTTAATACCTCTGTTGGTCAAATGAAAATTATGTTTAACTCTGAAGACCATTCTATTAGGGCTTAATAATTTGAGAAAATCTTGAAAATGTGGGTATTAACTCATTACAACAACAGTGAACATAATTATAGATATATATATAGATATAGATATATGCTTGAGTTTTAATATATCACTGTTTTTGACCCATTTATTTTGGCAGTTTGTCAGCAGTTAGAGTGAAGAGATTCTGTGTTCATTTTTGCATGCGTTTCAGCTTCTTAAAGCGGCTCGATTCACAGTACATGAGCCAAGATGCTATGAGATGTTGACACACTGTATTTCTAAAACAAGCAGTGCAAACAGTATATGTAATTAGTTAAATCATGACCTTTGTGATTTGACTCACACATTAAGCCATATCACAAAATCGATTTTATTGTGATATATCATGTAGCCCTATATGTACTTTCTCTGGATGAGCTTGCATTGAACTTCTCTCTCTTTCGCTGTCTTGCAAGCACTGCTGTTTCCTTCAGGACATGGACACATACACATGTTGTGAGTATGCAGCATGAAGAGTGCAGCGTTTCTTGATCAGTCATTAACAAGTGTGTTTTCTCTCTAGTCAGGTTTGATCAGAACTCAGGATGCGGATTACTTCTTGAAGCCACTGCACCCACATCAGGCACTTCTGGAGAACTTCTCAGGCCCATCTGACCACCATCCCCACATCTTGTACAAGAGATTCACACCAGCACAGACAAACACAGGCAGAAGCAGGAGGTCAACTGAGCCAAAGACGGTCAGCAGAAGACATTCGGCCGTCCCATATCTGTGGAGAACCACACCGACGGATCCAGAGGAGTACCAGCGTACGCCGCACAGTCATGACGGCACACAGCAAAGACAGCACTTCTGTGGAAGACGGAAGAAATGTATGTAAGGACATTCTCTCTCCAACCGCACCTTCAGAGTCTCTAACACTAAGCTGCTTTCCATTACATGGTGCTGGACTGTCAAAAACGCTCATTAGTAGGGAAGGGGGGCATACTTTAAACAATGGTTTCGTATGTACAGGGGTCACAGCTGTTCAAGGGTCAGTTTGAACATGTTTTCATGACATCATGACACCTGTATTGTGTTTGGTCAGAGATTAATAATCTTCACCTACTCTAAACAAACACCACATCTTCACATTGCATTTGAACCCTGAGTAATGTTTTATGAACCAAGTAACCAAATCTTATGTGGGATGTGAGGTAACAGCTAATACAGTTTGACACACATGGCATGCATTAATGTCATGTATAGGCCAGAGTTTTCCAGACACCGATTCAACTTTTTGCTGAACTAGTAATGCATTTTCTTTTGTGGAACCAGCACTGACTGTGTGAGTGTGACCTAGTATTGATGTCATCTTGGTCCTGTGTTTCAGACATGCCTAAACCTCCTGAGGATGATATCTATATTTTTCCGGATGAATATAAGTTCATGCCCAGAGGGAAACGAGCCATTATGTTCAAATCTCAGACGCACCAGAGGCTAAATGTGGAGACCCTGGTGGTGGTCGACCGCAAGATGATGGACAATCACGGCCATGAGAATATAACCACATATGTCCTTACTGTTCTTAACATGGTAAGTCATCCATCCATTTGCCCATACATCTAACTATCCATACATCGATCCATCCATACATGCATCCATCCATCCATCCATCCATCCATCTATACATCCATGAATCCATCCATCCAGCCATCCATCTGTCTTTCCATGCATCCATCCATCTATACATCCACAAATTCATTCATCCATTCATGCACCTATACATGCATTCAATCATGCATTCATCCAGATATCAATGCATCCATTCACCCATCCATGCATTCATCTATCTATCCATGTATTCATGCATCCATGCACACATCCATACATCCATGAATCCATTCATCACACCATGCATCCATACATGCATTGATTCATGCATCTATCCGGATATCAATGCATCCATGTATCCATCCATTCATCCAATTATCCATGCATCCATCCATCCATCTATCCATGCATCCATCAATGCATCTATCCTTTCATCCATGTATCCATTCATGTATCCCTCTGTCTATCTACCATCCATGTATCCATCCAGTTATTAGTGCATCCATCTCTGCACATCCATGCATCCATCCAGATATCGATGGATCCATTCATCCATTCATCCATCCATACACCCAGGCATCTACCATCTATTCATTTATCCATGCACCTGTCCATACAGTACATACATCTATTAATCCAGGCATCCATCCATGCATCCATCCAGATATCGATGCATCCATTTGTCCATCCATTTCCCAGTTTTCTGTGTATTCGGAGTATGCTCTGAATGCATGGAGAATGATGTCAAGCTGAGGTCAGAGCATGTGTTTTCACTTCATTGTGGCATATCTGGTTGACCAAATGGACTAGTTAATGATTGCTAAAAGTCAAAGTGAGTATCTTTGGGGTGAGCACAGTGAAAAAATGTAAGCACAGATGAAAACACTCTTTTAGACTAATGGAAATAGGATTGTGTTACATGTTATGAACATATCCATCAAACTCAGACTTAGTGAAAATGTTTTAAGAGTCCTGGTTTACAAAAGGATTTGTGAAATACTGACACCTGAAACCAAACTGGATGCCTCTTATGTTGGTGTCAGTGGAAACAAAGACAAAATAGCAGGAATGAAAGACCTTGTATTGGGACTAAGTGTTTGTATTTATGATACCTGAGCTTTTTAAACCATCCTAAGGACTTTATCTTCAGCTCTGTTTCAAAGGCCAATGACATGTGGGATTAGGGATTCGCTTAAGTACATATGGTATGCCTCCATAGAGGTGAGGCTTTGAAGAACTTTGGAGAAACATCCCAGCCATATGCTTCTCATTTTTTCCAAAGAGACACTTATGATTGATCTGCTCAAAGATTGGGGTTTAAATGCCTCGATGTAAATGCACCATCCTGTAACCTAATGCTGAGCTTTCTGCACTGTTGTTTATCTCCACAAAGGTCTCAACACTTTTCAAAGATGGCACGATTGGAGGTGACATCAATGTTGTAATTGTTGGACTAATACTGCTGGATGAAGACCAGGTGAGTTTGAGATGCCATGAATTGAAAAACAAAGCAGAAGATCTTGGCTCTGTTACATTGATAATGTTTGTTCACATGAATATGTTACACCAACAAAATGTATATATTTGTAAAATCAATGAGAGTTAAAGCCCTCTGGAGGCAATCGACGTCATGAACTGTGAGAGGTGTAGATAACACAGAGCTTTGAAATCGTATGAAACATTGCTTTAGAAGGTGGATTTCATTGTCCTTGAGAGGCTTGTCTCCTTCGTTCTCTTTGAGACGCTCTATCTGAACAGGTCTCGTTTTTATGATGACAGTTTAATTGGAAACACAGCATTCCATTGGATTCCAGCCAGACGAGGGACGCGTCTGTGGGAAAGTGGGCCAGCGAACGGCTGAAGGGCTCCGTTACTGATACACCTGTGCTAATGTTAATGGAGTTCACATTAGCCACCGGCCGAGGAATGCAGAAAATTGGTCTTATCCCCCTTTTGATTGGAATAATTAGCCGCAGTCAGTCAGGATCAGTGATGAGGGGCTAATTACCCTTAGACTCATTTATTGAGGTGGGGTCAGCAGAGGTAGCTGGTAATTACTCGGCCCAGTTTGAGTTATTCTTCCAACACTAGTCACCGGTGGCATGTCATTGTTTCGCTCTTTTGACTTCATTCTGCTCTTGACTCTAGTTAACGCTCTGCTCCCTCAGGATGGACTAGTGATTAACCATCATGCAGATCACACTCTGAACAGTTTCTGCCAGTGGCAGTCGGGATTGGCCGGACGAGAAGGTCGCCGGCATGATCATGCCATCCTGCTAACCGGTCTGGATATCTGCTCTTGGAAGAATGAACCATGTGACACTCTGGGTAAGGACAACATCTGCTGATCTAACATGCAGCATCTCACATATGAGTGCATTTTAAGACATCATGCTTGTATGATGCAAAATTTATGTAAACACAGTCCTTTCTTTCTTAAGGCATTGTAATCAGATGGGACAGAACGTCAAATATGTCAAAATAAAAGTCAGCATAAATACAGTCTAGAGATCTGCCACTGTCTATGATGTTATTACTGATAATAAAAGAGAAACGCCGCTCACTGCTCTTGTCTGGCAAAATTTGGTAGTTTTAGAAGCCCTTTGCAGTTACACATTTAAAGCACTTCTTGTTTTATTGCTCATAATGTGTTTCTTTGCATTTCACTGTTTGTATTTTCTGAAGCTCTCTAGATTTAAAAAAGAAATTTAGTTGACAAATACTTGACTACACAATATTGGGTTACACTTTACTTGAAGGGGTGTGCATAAGACTGACATGACACCTTCATAATCATGACATGACACATACATAATCATGACATGACACATGTCATGAATATGAAGGGTTTTTATGCATGTTTATGACAACTGTCATTAAGTGTCATTCGCTCAGTTATGTAATTTTTAATGCAAAGATGACATTGTTTGAGATGTCTTTGTTATGGGCTATGGTTAGGGGTAAGGGTAGGGGTAGGGTTAGGTCAAATAATGTCATATTTGCATTAAAAATGACATAACTGAGCGAATGACACTTAATGACAGTTGTCATAAACATGCATAAAACCTCTTTCATATTCATGACATGTGTCATGTCATGATTATGAAGGTGTCATGTCAGTCTTATGCACACCCCTTCAAGTAAAGTGTTACCCATTATTGTTTGTATTGTCATTATTGAATTTATTCATTTACTGTATTTATGTAAATTAGTTTAACCCTCATGTTGTTTTCCAGTCATTTTGACCTAGAGAGAATATTTAGTTTTTCTTGAAAATCCTAGTTAATGTTATCGCATTGGACCACAACTTAGGACATTGTTCACACAGGGTATGACAACTTCCCAAAAATAATATTTTTTAATCTAAATAATAGATTTTTTTATCACCTTATTACCAACTTACATTTGTGGTGTCCCCAGTCACAATTACTGTCCTACAGAAAATTGCTTATAAATCTCTCATTATGCTACATTGTTACCAAATATTGGATTCTATATTTTTATCAACTTATTTTCTTTCAGTAAGCACAGGTTTTGTTTTGTCTTTTTGGAAATGATTGATTGTAGGCATCATTGATCATTGAGACCTCTTACACACACACACACACACACACAATACATAATGCATCAGCCCCTAAATATCATTATAATATTGAACTGGGAGGTCAGTGCCAATTCCCAGCCCAAACAAATACTACTTGCTTTATCTTGGTAACCGGATATTTATCGGAAACTTTTGCCCATTAATTAGCACATTTCTACAAGAAATGATAAAAATGTCAGTGTACCTTGAATGCAATATTAAAGTGTCCACCAAATGCATAAATGTAAAATGTAAATGTAGCATCAGTAACTGAAAACCTTCACTAATGCTGCGTTCACACCCGTATGTGACAGTATAATACAACAACTCAAACAAAAAAATAATTAAAGAGTAAAAAAAATCATAGGTGTGGTCTGACATTTAAGATTGATGACCTAATATATGCTGTTTATATGGTGATGACTGCACTTAGTTATCATGAAACTGCTCTACTCTGCTTCTGCTGAACTGTTAAATTATTAGAGGTACAGTAAGAAGCTTTTCCTCTAATAACCTGTTTCCTGTGAGAGCTCAAGCTGTGGTCTCCACCCTGTGCCACATAAAAGAATCTCTCCCCCCTAACCCCTAACCCCATTAGCAAAGCTAGCCATGCCCCTCAAATGCAAGGCTGTGGTTCAAAGGCTGCTAAGGAGTGTCAATGATTAACACTTGAGTGCAGACTCACGCTCGGAGGTCACGAGGTCAGGGGTTCTGGGAGATTTCACGTCCCTCACAGGTCATGGACTGGAAAAATTACAGTTTAACAGATATTCACATAGAAAAGTTATTTTATTTTGTAATAATATTGTTGTTTTTTTACAGTATTTTCGATCAAATAAATGCAGCCTTAGGGAGCATACAATACTTTTTCTCAAAAACATTTTAAAATTCTAACCAACTTTTGATCATTGGTGCACGGTCAGACTATACAAGGTGATCTGGTGTAGGTTTATTTTCGCTTATGAGTTGTACTTCATAACATGTTGCAGTGGTACTCTAGCCTAGACTTGCATACCCCTCATCACTCACTCACTCATTCATTCATTCATCCATCCATCCATGTATTGTTTTGATTTCAGGTTTTGCTCCAATCAGTGGGATGTGCAGTAAGTACCGCAGCTGCACGATCAATGAGGACACGGGTCTCGGTCTGGCCTTCACCATCGCCCATGAATCTGGCCACAAGTAAGAGCTGAATTTATAATTAACCCTTTGTTTGATTCCCTCAAATCCGGGTTAACAAAAGCCTTCTTTTGCACAGCTTTGGAATGGTCCATGATGGCGAAGGAAACGTGTGCAAGAAGTCTGTTGGAAATATTATGTCTCCAACCTTGGCGGGACACAATGGTTTATTCTCCTGGTCATCCTGTAGCCGACAATATCTAAACCGATTTCTAAGGTGAGGTTTCTTTTGACATCTAGAATTAGTTTCCCAAATAACAGTTAGGAATGCCAGTATCATGAGCACTATTTTTTTTACAATGCATCAATACAGTTACAGTGTTGCAGCTGATATTTGTAATGAACTTTGAGTCACTTGGAAAGTCTATCCCAGAATCACATGCTTTACCCATTGGCAGCCCAAAGCGGCATTAGAAGTGCAAAGATATTAACAACCGTGCCCTTTACTGAGCATCTCCTGTCCATTAGTCATCCATGCAGAATCACCCAGCGAGAGTCTAGACACCAACCTCATCTTTAAAAGTAGTATTTGTAGTGCTGTTTTGGTTCTGATATCTAAAAGTGAGCAGCTCCAGCGGGTTTTAAATTTCACTTTCTGTCTGAGAGCCACGTCTGTGCTCATGAAAGTGGATCAGCTTGACCTGTTGCCCTTAAATTGCCCGACGTGTCAAATGAATCGTTATCGTAATGAGCTCATCCTCTTCACTGCCGCCTGGATCAGCAGCTCTAGGCCTCAGCAGAAGAAGCGAGTTGTTTGTCAGATGCTCGGAGCTGCTTCACCTGTCTTCCAGCAACGCTTCATGTGTAGACACCGAAGAAAACGGGGCTTGCAGCAATCTGCAGGATTTTAAAACTGGTCACTACAGCATAATGTGCACACCATTGTGGTTGAAGGTTGCAGTTGGATTCCTGTCAGTCTCATGATTCAATGGTGCAGTAATCTAGAAAATTAAGTACAGGGAAGTATGCTTTCTGTGGCTTCCTGTAGCTCAAACAGTAGATCATGGTACTAGCAACACCAAGGTCGTGGGTTTGATTCCAAGTGAATGCATGAAATTATAAAATGCCTTCCTTGAATGCAATGTTTATGATGGATCAGAGCATCGGCCAAATGCATAAATGTACATTTAAAATGCTAAAGTTCTGTTGAGCCCCATTCAGACCACCAGCGACTTTGGCCCTGTCTACATTAATCTGGGTTCATTCAAAAATGTCATTTATGTTCAAAACGCTCTGTCCACACTTGCGTTTTTAAGTTTGAAACGTATTGGAAAATCATTTTACTGAGCACGTGCAAAACGTAATAAAAGCTCACTGAGATGAGACAGAGACAATCATTTTAATAGCATGCATGTAATTAGCATGTATGGTCTAAAACGCAACTGCCCTCATGTTTTGCCACAGGACAGCAAATGCGAGTAAATCTTTGCAGGAATGTAATAAGATTGTACAAAATAACACATCTTTAGCATCACTCTGAGAGTGAATATACACATTATGCACGTACTGGTATAAACATAGATGTCTATTGGTACAAAATATTTGATTACAAAGGTGAAACCCAGCACCATGGCATCGAGTGCTGCAGGGATGATGTATTTTTTAATTTAAACCCAGAATCAAGTTGCATTTAAGCACTTCCGGTTCCATCATTTTAAAGGGTTTTTGGTTAAGAAATAAGGTCTGTGGTAAACACAAGCTTAAGATGTTTTCTTATTTAATACTATAACATAAAATACATCCGTATGATTTTTATAAAGCTTTTACTTGTCCTAAAAAAGGCAGTTGCTAACAAGTGTCTATATAGGACTATATAAATGTCATCAGACTCTTCTACTCACTAGTTGCTTTCACAGCTTCATTGTTTATAATCACACTCTTGCAAACTATTCTACCTCAAACTTTCAGCAAAATGTTTTTAAATAAAGACCGAAAGAGCTGTCGAAGCTTAATGGTGGTGACGCTGAAGGCATGTGACCATAGTGTGTAGTAGTATATATAGCCTACATTTAACTTTGACTAATGTCGATGGTATTTAGGCTTCAAAATTATGTTAATTTGCGAAGATTATCATGATGGGAAGAAAAAAAACATGTAAGAATCATAAACGTTTGTTGGTCACAGAGTTTATTTTCGGCATTAATCCAAAAGCTAGTGTTGGGTCTGAGTCCAAGTCCTTAACCAATTTAGTTTGAGTGGGAGACATGTATTAATGTTGTGTCATCTTTATGTTGTTACTTTTGTATCTTTAATGTTACAAATGACATGGATTCTCTGTAAAAACAACAAAAAAAAGTCCAAAATGTCAGTGTGTGTCAAGTTTGAGTACAAGTCCACCTCAGTGCATCCGAGTTCATTCATCAGTCCGAGTCCAAATACCCCAAATCTACCAAAAAGAAGATGGAAAATCCTATTTGATATTTGTGTAGGGCAGTGGTTCTCAAACTGTGGGCCACGAGATGGCGCTAAGGGGGCCGCATAAAAATTCTAGAATCTAGATTAGAAAATTATAATTTTTTAAATATTTTACCTGTATATAAATCAGGATTGTCAACCTATGTAACCTATGATGTACATGAAAAATAGTAATATTGAAAAAATAACAAAGTAAAATCAATTATACGCAGCACACTACTCTGAAACGTCACCAAAACCTCTGTTGACGTGCTAGTGCACAGAACGGTTAGCCATGAACACGCAGATAAATGCTTTTTAAAATGGATACGTTTTTAGATATAGGATGCATTGGGAAGGTTAATAAAGAAGAGCCTATCGTGGAAAAAAAAACGAAACTGCGTAAATTTGACGACTCATACATAAAATATGGCTTTATGGAATATAGTGACAGCAGACTACAGTGCACGCTGTGTTTGAAGATTGTATCCATTGATGCGAGAAAGAAAGAAGAACACGTCAAGCAAAAGGTACGACTGACCAACATCATGACAATACCCGAGAAAGCACAGCAAGCATCTTGCAGACCTGCGAATAGCCAAATGTAAAAAGCCTCACACGATCGGCGAGCAGCAGTGGAAATGTGCAGAGTGATGTTCGGGGAGGAGGACGCGAACAAGATTAAATCCATACCGCTGTCCAACAGACGAATCAAAGACATCTCGTTTGATGTGAAATCTCAGCTGACTGAAAGATTACGATTGTGTGAGCAGCTCGCGCTTCAGCTTGATGAATGCACTGATGTTAGCTGCACAGTTGTTGTTGTACGTTCGATATTTATGGGACAGTGAAATTATGGAAGATTTTTTATTTTCAGAAGAACTCTAGGGGAGAGCCACAGGTGAGGACATTTTCTAAATGTTGGACACTTTCGTGGTAGAAGAACATCTGAAGTGGGAAAAATGTGTGTTTGTTTGCACTGATGGTGCGGCAGCAATGACTGGGCACAGGAATGTAGTTGTCACCCGAATTCAAGCCATAAATCCAAAGATCGCAGCCACTCACTGTATGCTTCATCGTCAAGCGCTTGCATCAAAGTCAATGGCACCTAACCTGAATGAGGTGTTGGAAGTAGTAGTAGCGGCTGTCAACTTCGTGAATTCAAGACCACTGAAGTCACGTCTCTTCGCGAAACTATGCACAGAGATGGGGGCAGCTCATGATCGGCTACTGCTCCATTCAGAGGTGCGGAGGCTTTCATGTGGAATGGTTTTGGAGTGAATGTTCGAACTGAGACGTGAGCATAAACCTGATCTAGAACTGGTATTTTCTGACCAACAGTGGGTGGCAAAACTGGCCTACCTTGCAGACATGTTCAGTAGTCTCAGTGGACTGCATCTGTCCATTCAGGGATCTTATTCCACAATATTGGAGGAAAATGACTAAATCAATGCATTCAGGGGAAAAAATGGTCTGTGGGTATGTAAACTACAGAGGCATCACTGACATGTTTCAAATCTATCAGAATTTTTGGATAGAAACTCCCAAAGTGGACTCACTCTCAGGATGAGATTTAATCAGCAGAATTCTGGGCCACGGTTGAAAAGGAGTACAAGGAGGTTGCTCTTCAAGCGATGATAATATTGCTGCCTTTCCCAACAACATATCTTTGTGAGATATCTTTCTCGGCCATAATGGCAATGAAGACGAAATACAGGGCACGGCTTAATGCGTAAGATGACTTGAGAATTTGCCCGTCCCCAATAACACCCAGAATTGATCAGCTCCGTGAAGAAAAACTTCCCACTAAGGCAGGCTGTGTGTTTTTGTACAGTGGTTGTTACTAAATTGATGTTTCTGCATTGCAACTATTTATTTTTAAGTGGAGTAGACATTTTTTTTTTACGTTTCATGCAGAAAAAAAAAGATTGCTGAAAAAATTCAGATTGCTGTTCACATTGCAAACCAAACTGCTGAGCCACTGTCAGTTTAAAGTGTAATGCACTTTTTGACAAAGTATATCTAAATTCACTTTTCAGTAGGCCTAGCCATACTACTATGGACACAGTAAATTACTATTCAGTATTCAATACTTTTGTTGCAGTTTTCAGGCAATATTATTTTTAACCGTCAAATCTGTTTTATAACAATTTGTTCTATTTTATGACATATAGAATTTAACAAATTTTGGCCCGGTTTCATAGACAGGGCTTAGCCTAAACCAGGATTAGGCCATAGTTCAATTAGGACATTTAAGTAATTTTTATAAACATGACTTAGAAAAAAGCATTACAGGTGCGCATCTTAAGACAAAACAAAGACCCTGACTTGCTTTAAGATCAGTCAGTCCAAGTTTTTTGTTCAGTTGAAACAGCTCAGATTTACATTTTAGTCTAGGACTAGGCTTAAGCCCTGTCTGTGAAACCGGGGGTTAGTGTATTTAACATCAGAGAAATAAAGCTACAAACAGAACTGATGTTCTGGCATTGTATAAATTATTTTATAATATTTATATATATATATTTTATTATATTATTTTTTTTTTGGTACAATTTAATTTTTTTTGGTAACACTTTACAATAAGATTCATTAGTTAATTACTTTAGTTAACATGAACTAAGAATGAACAATAATTCTACAGCTTTTATTAATCTTAGTTAGTTCATTTCAACATTTACTAATGCATAATTTAAAATCAAAAGTTGTGCTTGTTAACATTAGTTAATGCACTGTGAATATGAATGTACAACTAACAGTAACTAATGGAACCTTATTGTAAAGTGTTACCAATTTTTTTTAAGTAAAATTGTAAGTTTAAGGATGTAACACAAGGGGCCTCCTTCTGAAAAAGTTGGTGAAGGGAACCAGGGTTGGTCTACAAAAATACGTCTCCCTGATTACTACAGACACAGACTTCACTCTCATTGGTAGTTGCCCTTTATTTGCATAATGCCAAACTTTTCTCAACCTTCTCAAATCCCTAGACATGCCTGCATCCCAATCACTGTCGCTCATGTCCACGGAAATCCAGCTTTCTATTGAAAATGAATGGGATCGTGACGCTCTGCTGCTGTCAGTGTGAACGGGGCTTTATCCAAAGGAGTCAGTGTTTTGAATTCCACCGTCTCACTTAGTTCTGCAAACCTGCAGTGTGACAGAGTCTGCCTGTGAACCACAGCTTTTCCAGGACTGTCTGGGCATCTCTGAAGGCAACAGAGTGCAGTACGTTCATCCCTCGGTTCTCTTTCCACACCCACGACACCCCAAAAACAGCAGCACGCTGCAGATAAATACGGCGACTATGTCTGTCCTCCCATCTGTTTCCCATTCCTCATCAGCAGCTTCACCTACGTCACCATGTGCCTGTCGACATACAGCCTGCAGATCACAGACCTTCAAGTAGCTGTTCTCAGACCTTCTGTCCTTCATCTCCATAACCCTCCGCTTTTATCACTAATAAAACAAAGCTTGAAAGGGAGTCCGGCCCGAGCTGCTCTGTCTTATAGCTGTCTCTCGCCTTAATCTGAGGAGGAAACTTAAAGAGGTGACACTGGGAGAACTGAGGAACTCAATCTGATTCATCTGACGCGGACATTCCTGACTCTGCGGGCCAGATGCTGCCGCACTGATCCGTCTCCAGATGATTGGAAGCAGGACTTACACGCGCTGCAGAAGAACAGGGTTTCCCTTCAGGATGCAGTGAGGGATTCTGGGATCGCTGGACTAATTATAGTGGATTGTTCTGCAACAAGAACATCTACAGATACAAAGTGTTCGAGTGACTGCTCATTTGTACTAGTCAACCAGTCATTCAGAAAAGCAAAAAGTGTCACCATATAAAGAACAAGCGCAAGAGAAGTCATCCATTACTAGTCAACACAGACCCAGTGCTTCAACTAGCTGTTGAAGTAAAAAACTGACAGACTAATCTGATGGAGAGCTTCAAAACATCACTTGTCTGGTAGTGATGAGAATAAACTCTCGTAGGGCTGATGTTCAATTCATTGAAATAAGACTAAAACAGTGTAATTAGTGTGATTATTACATCGCAAAGGCAGTGATTGAATTAAATAATTATAAAATAAAAGTAAAATAAACAAGTGATGGGTTTTGGTTTGAAAATGAAAACATATAGACAGCCAGTAATATTTCTAATGTTGTTTAATATTTTATTTAGTAATAATTGATAATAATCACAATAGAAGTAATTATTTTTAAATTATTATTATTATTATTATTATTATTATTATTATTATTAGTATCTTACAATATTTTATTTTACAGTAAAATAGTACACTAGTAATATTTCTAATGTTGTTTAATATTTTATTTAGTAATAAATTATAATAATCACAATAGAAGTAATTATTTTAATAATATTATTGTTGTTGTTGTTATTATTATTATTATTATCTTAAATACTGTTTTTTATTTTACAGTAAAATAGTACACTAGTAATATTTCTAATGTTGTTTAATATTTTATTTAGTAATAATTAGTAATAATCACAATAGAAGTAATTATTATTATTATTATTATCTTAAATACTGTTTTTTATTTTACAGTAAAATAGTACACTAGTAATATTTCTAATGTTGTTTAATATTTTATTTAGTAATAATTAGTAATAATCACAATAGAAGTAATTATTTTAAAATTATTATTATCATATCTTAAATACTATTTTCTATTTTACAGCAAAATAGTACAGTAGTAGTATTTCTAATGTTTAATATTTTATTTAGTAATAATTGGTAATAATCACAATAGAAGTAATTATTATTATTATTATTATTTTATAGTCATACCACATTTTGCAGCCCTACAAACTTGGATTTATTTGTATTTTCTTAATTTTTTTTTCAAATCACAATAACAAACATTTTTATAAATTAAAAATACAAATATTTAAATTAACCAATCAATCAGTAAACAAACAAATCAATCAATCAATAAATTAGATTTTTTTCCCGCCAAATCCTGCAGCTCTATTCTCAAGTATTGCATGGGTGCAGCAGTGCGCTGCTTTTATTGTTAAGATTATTTCATTGTCAGTTTTGGTTGAGCACCTGCATTAATATATTTTTTGAGATGTGCGTGTTGCATATATTTAAAGCTAACAGACCAGTCTAAGTGACCCCCGTTACAAACATACATCCCACACAGACGCACATACTGACCCAGTCTCGTCATGGAGCGCCTGCTAAACTACTCAGAGCTCATTCAGGGCTTCACTGTGTGTCTGATTGTGTGAAGCACATGCTATTAACAATGTTAAATGCTTTCTCATGATCCTCGATATCGCTTACACACGGAGCCTTGCTGCCGGCCCGTATAATAACGGCAGCATTCAATAACATACGTAATGATGAAGTCAGAGGATGTGTTGAAAAGAGAGACGTCTAAATGTAGCCGAGGGAACTCCGCTTGTTATGTTGTCATCGCTGTCGGCCCGTATAATAACGGCAGCGTTCAATAACATACGTAATGATGAAGTCAGAGGATGTGTTGAAAAGAGAGACGTCTAAATGTAGCCGAGGGAACTCCGCTTGTTATGTTGTCATGGTTGCTGCTCTACTGTACGGCACTCAAGCGGTTTTACAGTAGTGTTTGTGTCTCAGTACCGCACAGGCCACCTGTCTGTCTGACGAGCCCAGCGCCATCCAGGAGTACAAGTACCCTGAGAAACTTCCCGGAGAGCTGTACGACGCCGACACGCAGTGCAAGTGGCAGTTCGGAGAGAAAGCTAAACTCTGCACTCTGGACTTCAAGAAGGCAAGTCCATTAATATCAGTATGTCATATTGTTTTATATATGAAACCCTCCAGAAAAGACCAGTTTGTTCCCCATCAGGTCATGTCAGATGAGTTGAGTGCACATGAACGCCACCACATGACTGAACATTTTGCACACTGTAGAAGATGAGCTATTTAGGCCTGGCAGGAACCACTGCTGATTTAGCCTGTTAATGAGGTGAACGTTTACACTGCAGAATCACTGCTCCAGAATCATAAAATATGTCATTAGATGATTAGTTGCCTCATTTTGCTATCGTCCTGTTGTAAAGAGCTTTCCGTTCTTGTCAGGAAGTTAAAAAAAAACTAGAGGAAGCCTTATGAAATTGCCCAACACATACATTTTATCCTTCGACCAAAATCAGAAGAATGCACTTCCAAACTCACAAATGGGAACTTCCTACTTGAAGGCAGCATTAGACGGCATGAGTTTGCATTCTGTTACAGGCTTATCGTTCACACTTTATTTTAAGGTCCAATTCTCACTATTAACAAACCATTAACTAGGACTTTTGCCTCAATAAACTCCTAATTTGCTGCTTATTAATAGTTAGTAAGGTAGTTGTTAGGTTTAGGTATTGGGTAGGATTAGGGATGTAGAATATGGTCATGCACAATATGTGCTTTATAAGCACTAATACGTTAATAGTGAGAATTGGTCCTTATATTAAAGTGTTACCAGCTTGACTAGGTTAGTGCTGGTTCAGTGTTGGTCTATTTAGTTCTGCTCAACCATGCATGGTCTTTCTGGTTAAGATAGTTAAGAAGACTGGCTGTAATTTGCACAGCTGCTTCCAAACATTAACTACCATTCAAAGGCTTGAGGTCGGTAAGACTTTTTAATGTTTTTGAAAGAAGTCTCTTCTGCTCACCGAGGCTGTACTTACTTGATCACAAATACCGTAAAAACAGTAAAATTGTGAAAACTGTCATTTATTCCTGTGATGTGCAGCTGTATTTTCAGCATCATTCCTCCAGTCTTCAGTGTCACATGATCTTCAGAAATCAGTATAATATGCTGATCTGCTGCTCGAGAAACATTTCTGATTATTATCAATGTTGAAAACAGTTGTGCTGCACAATATTTTTGTGGAAACTGTGATGCATTTTATTTTTTCAGGATTCACAGAGGAACAGCATTTATTTGACTGCACACACACACGCATGGCCGAAACGCCTGTTCAGCGAGCTCCTGTGGTCATGATTTGGAATGTACAATGGCTATAAAAGTCTACAAAAGTTTCTATTTGTTTCTTACATTAATTTTAACATTTAAGCTGCAGTCTTGTTTTGTGTGCAAAATCCAGTCATTCCAATAAGTCTATTCAATCGAGAGTTTCATGTGAGGGCAAAAAACTTACCCACGCAAATATTGCTAATTTTTAAGTTAGTCACATTAATACAGAGCACTGAGCAACAAAAACCTGCTTAGTTTGGAAGTGACTTCTGTATCAGCAGTTCGACACTATTGTGAAAAGACAATGGACCTTTTTTTACTTACAAAATGTTGCAGCAATTTTGCTAATGTGACTGCTGCTTAAAGGGTTAGTTCACCCAAAAATGAAAATGAGTCCATAGATTACTCACCCCCGAGGCATCCTAGGTGTATATGACTTTCTTCTTTCAGACGAATCCAGTCGGAGTTATATTAAAAATTGTCTTTGATCTTTCAAGCTGTTTCATGCCACTCAGCGGGTGTTGCATTGCTTCGGCGGATGACGTATGAGGTCAGCGCTGTGCATGCGCCGCTCAGAAGTGAAGCACGCGGAAATGCAGCGGAGAGATCAAAACAAAACAACGGTCACTAATTAGGAGTACAAAACCAGGATTTGTATAGAAGAATGTCAGAGGATTTCGATATAAGCCAAGAGGAGACTGGTTTTCCTTTGCTTCCTTTGCTCCTGTAAACAAACGTTGGTTTTCACGAGACTCACCGGCGCATGCGCAACGCCGACCTCGTACATCATCCTCTCGGAACTGCTACTGTGTATAACTGCTGGCGCAAGCTACATTTAAGTGAATATTACGTTTTGAATATGGATATTTTTCTTACAAAAATGAATCGATTCGCTACAGAAGGCCTTTGTTCACCCCCCGGAGCCGTGTGAGACACTTTTTTTATGGATGGGGCGCTTTTTATTTAACTTCTTTTGGACTGAAGCATGCAACACCCGCTGAGTGGCATGAAACAGCTTGAAAGACCAAAGACAATTTTTTATATAACTCCGACTGGATTCGTCTGAAAGAAGAAAGTCATATACACCTAGGATGACTTGAGGGTGAGTAATTTATGGACTAATTTTAATTTTTGGGTGAACTAACCCTTTAAAGGTGGAAGAAGTTCTGACATGATTTGTCTTCACAAGATTCATGTTCACATATTAAAAACATGCAATTTGCAACTGGGTTGTGTAGATTTTTATAGTCATTGTATGTCAATATAAAGAAGTTTATCAAATGTTTGGACACAAATGTGATGCTTAAAGTGGATTGCAACTCTTTTGTTTTCTTCTTTTTTATTATTATACATTTAGCAAATTTACAGCAACAAACAGGAAACATACCAACTTCGTAAGGCACACTTAGTAACATGCAAAAAATAAATAAATTAATAAATATTACAAATAAATGGAATGCATGGACTTACTTTAACAAAATTGTAAATCTGGACAGCATTAAAACAGTAACAATTACCTATACTTTTTTTATTTTATTTTTATTTTTTTATTTGAAGCTTTGAAAAACTAAATCTAAAAACAAAAACCAGAAGAAATAAAGTAAAGGAAGCTTTTCATTTCTTCCATTTACTTGTGTGAATATGATATTTACACACCAATATTACCATGTTCAAAAGATCAGAAAAGTGGGGTTTCAGAATATGAAAAAAAAAGAAATCTTCAAAAACGAATGTATGAATATTATAAATTTTCACTGAATGCTGATTGTCTCTACCAAATATTTAGAAGTACATTCAGTAGTAGAAAAGCTGTTCAGGAGTTTCAGGAATGCAACTCTTTGCACACTTTTTCCACCAATGTTTTCTGTGAACGTGTGACCTGCATCCAGAGAGTCTGATGCACGAATGCCCTGATCTGTGCTGTTATACTCGCGTCCGATTGCTCGTAATATCAGGAGGGCGCTGCCTTTAAAGTTCTATAATGCAGGAATTCAGGTCTGAACTCAATAGAGATTTGCTAAAGTAATTTTTCCACTGTGTAGTCTATACATCTAAAATTGGAGCTCTCCGTAGAGAAATCTGCTCCAGTCCCACTCGCTCTCGTGATGCAGACGCAGAGCTAAATATACTTTGGAGGGACGCCAGTGAGAATCTTGCCCTCATATTGTCCCGATCTCACCTAACTGAAGAAATGAGGCGAGAGACTGGGCACTGATGCCGTCGACTGACACAAATCAAGACGAATGTTAATTATTCAGCACAAACAAGCTATGATCAAGAAACACATTTCACTTTTAGCACACAGATTTCATTATATATGTACTGTAAACATGCACTTAGCCATTTTTATTTATGTTGTTCTGGCCGATGCCACAGACGTTATACTGACACCTATTGGCGTGGATGTAAGATTGCAGTAGCACTACCGTATTTACAGGTGTATTTCTCACCCATGATTAATTAATTTCAACCAAAAGTAGTGCAGTTACCAAGTAGCAAGTTATTAGTTTTTTTCTGGTCGTGATTCAACATTGAAGAATGAAATAGCTTCTGGACCACTAATATGACTTAAAGGGACAGTTCACCCAAAAAGAAAATTCTATCATCATTTATTCACCCTCAAGTTGTTCCAAACCTGAATGAGTTTATTTCTTTTGCTGAACACAAAAGAAGATATTTTAGGAAACAAACGTTGCCGGTAGCCATTGACTTCCATAGTATGGAGAAAAAAAAATAGTATGGAAGTCAATGGCTACCGGCAACTGTTTGGTTACCAAACTATCCATTTAATCTCACTTGAATGCATATTTTGAGCTGTAAGTCAGTGTATGGATCTAAATACTATTCATTTAATTTACTTTAGAGCTAAAACTTACTCACAGTGGAAACATTTGCTTAGAAAGGACTCATTAAACTGATCAATAATCAATAATCAAAAGACATTTATAATGTTACAGAAGATTTCCATTTCAAATAAATGCTGTTCTTTTAAACTTTCTATTCATCTGTGAATCCTGAAAAATAAAATTTATCACAGTTTCCACAAAAATATTGTGCAGCACGACTGTTTTTAACATTGATAATAATCAGAAATGTTTCTCGAGCAGCAGATCAGCATATTATACTGATTTCTGAAGATCATGTGACGCTGAAGACTGGAGGAATGATGCTGGAAATACAGCTGCGTGTCACAGAAATACATTACAGTTTAACAGATATTCACACAGAAAACAGCTGTTTTAAATTGAAATAATTTTTCAAATTTTTACTGTATTTTTGATCAAATAAATGCAGCCTCAGTGAGCAGAAGAGACTCAAAACATTAAACAATCTTACCATCCCCAAACATTTGATCGGTAGTGTATAATTAAGTAGATAAGTACCCAGAAACAGTTAGGAGAAACAAATAAAAATGGAATAAATATGCTGATATGATAACTGCATTATTATTGTTCTTCTTATTTTTTAATAATATGTATAAAATTGAGGTTTTAAACTTGTAATTTTGTTGCAATAAATAGTATAGCCGTACAAAAAAACATGATAGTGTTGGATAGTGAAGTGTTTCATTAACTCATAATCTGTGTAAACATCAAATGGAAATGGAAGATTTCAGACTGTATAAGAGCAAAGCAGAGCAAAGAGGGTCTCCTCATTTCAGAAGAGCACCAGACGTCACTGAACGGGACAGAAATGGTTCTGTAGATGCTGAGCTCCCTCTGCTTTCACTGTGAATTAGCAGCTTGATATTGTCTGTGATGGACTGAGACGAGCGCTGTGTGATCGCTCTCCTCGTGCTCAGCAGGAACGGATTCGAGGAGGTCTCGCTTTAACACACAACTGCAGAACTTGTGCTGGGATTTGGACCGTGATCACTCTGGCAAACTGCCACCTATTCCTCCCATCTGTGCTCCCATTGTCAAAATATGATACAATAATCCAGATGTGAGTAATACGGACACATAAAGCATGCAGCCGTTCCTCATAGATTTTGTAAGAACGAAAAAAAAGAAATGGGTTGTTTCTGAATTTAAATCCTCCAGTACTTCCCAGTTTTAATAAAGCTACTCTCAAGGCATGATGTAAAATTAAAAGCATTTCTGTTTGAAGACTTGTGTTGAGCGTCTGGCAGAGATGATAATAACCTCAATTGTTTTCCAAATGCTTGATGCAGTGGTAATGACAGCAGCATTGAGGACAATCTCTTGAGGACCATGATTCTTTATCATAGAAACATTACAAATATAAATTCCAAATGAACTGAAAACATTATTTTTAAAGGTTAGAAAACAAGTAGAATTTTTTTTTTACATTTAACACACTTTATTTATTTATTTTTTTACACTTTTTATAAATGTAGTAAGGTTAAAGTTAAAAGACTGGTGGTATTGGTGAGGCCAATAATGGAGAAATTTTTGAATACTTTTTTAAAAATATGAAAAAAATAATCATTAAAGATGTACAACGAAGTCTATTCTTATCTGTCCTTTAGAAATTGAATGACTGTTAGTTGCAGAATCACTCACATACAGAGTGTTTGTATATGAAAATCAAATTATTATTATTTTTTGGATAATCATTTAAAATGCAATTTAAATATCTCAGGTTTGCTGTGCTTGTTTGTACAGCTGCAAAGTTTGGCCAAAAGTGTGTTATTCTATATCAATAAGGGTATAATAATAATTATTATTATTATTATTATTATTATTACAACTTCTACTAAAACAAAATGGATATCACTATTGTATTATTTGACTTTAAAATAAAAATAATACTAGAAATGTCTAATAATATAATTATTTCATTTTAAATTACAGCTGTAAAATTACAGTAATAATATTTATGATTGATTTAATTTCTTCATTTCGAATGTATTAATTTTTTTACAGAAAAAAAGTTTAAAGTGGTGCTAAGCATAAAGCCAAAAATAAATCCTAAAGCCAGAACGGTCACATGTTAGTTTGGGGACCAGTTCTCTACTAACTAAGTGTTAACTATGACTTTTACCTCAATAAACTCCTATTTGCTGCTTATTAATAGTTAGTAAGGTAGTTGTTAAGTTTAGGTATTGGGTGATTAAAGAATCTAAAAGATGGTCATGCAGAATAAGGCATTAATATGTGCTTTATAAGTACTCATTAATAGCCAATATCCTACTAATATGCAACTAGTTATTAGTGAGATTTGGTCCCTAAATTAAAGCGTTACCAGCAGAACCATTTAATAAAAATGAATTAAAATGCTCCAGTCTATTCCAATCGGAAACCTTTGCAAAAAAGAAGCATGTATTGAATGTGCACTTGAAAAATCTTTCAAAAGTATATTTTTATAAACTGTATACTTGCCAATAATGTAATATTAATTAGATAAAGGCCACTCAAGTGCACTTAAAGAGTGACACTCTCATGACTGTTTCACACTTAATTACACTTTGTAATAATGTCAAATTTAATTTAAAGTGCATTCTAAATCATGTTTTAATCATCTTTTGTCATGTTTTAAAGAAGTACACTTATTTTGATGTGTTCACTAACATACTAAAGCACATGTTAAGTACTTGATTATAATTTTAATTGTAGTGTTATTAGATTTTTCATTTAAAGTTAATGTATTTTAAATGCACTAAACTGCAAGTTCATCATTACAAATGCAAATGCATGCAAGTTTCAATAGAAATTACTTTTAAGTATATTTTACTTTAATGCTTGTCACGTTAACCATATTTCAATAGACAATAGAAGTCATTACGAAATTAGATGCATTAAAGTCCTACTTAAGTGGGTCAAAATTGCATTTATTATAAATTTAAACTATCATACATTTTCATTTAATTGCAATTATTATGCAACTGAGTGTCCGAAAAGTTCACACTGAAGTATATTGTTTTAAAGTATATTATTTCTGTACAAGAAAATGAGCGCATGTGAATGTGAATGCAGTTATGAACACTGCTGGAGACGTTTCTAGACCTTATTGAGGATCTGTCTGTCATCTCAGACCCCCGATCTTTAACTCCTCCAAACACTTTAATTGGATTTTAAGCGACATACAGTAAGTATGTGGTGTGGATTGGGTTTTACAATTACGTTTTTGCTGTTCGAACTACAGAAAAGGTGTCTGGTACACGGAAAACGAATTTTTCTGGCCACCAGACAGCCCCACAAATGGCCAGACAGATGGATCAGTGTTATGTGAGATACAGTTTTCATCATTGCTCTCGTCCCGTAGGATGCCTTTCCACTGATTCAGGCCCTTCACAGCAGATTGGGTTTAATGAGCTCATGTGGGCCTCGGCTGACCTCCTGGGGCGTTACTGAAGTGGGTTTGGGGCGTGAGGGTAATTACAGGCCCGTCCTGAGCTCTGCTGATCAGGGACGAAGAGCTCTTCTCCTACAAACACACACTCCTCGTCTCTGGCTGATACAGAGGCCAGCGCTGGTGGTCTGGATGTCTTTCACACGTGTTCCTCGAGGGGCGGCTCTGGAGGTGTTTGGTTTGGGATATATTAGACACGACAGTTTAATCCGAGTGAGAGCCAGTGACGGTACGCAGCGCTAATGATGACGGTCTCCTCTAGGAATCCTGCCCATCTGCGTTCAGGAAATATCCGCTCCGTCACATGAGCCAGAGACTCGGTTTCAGTTACACAGAGGGTGTGAAGAGCGCTGGACTGGGACTGTCGTTCATTCACTCTTTAACCTCTCGCAAAGAGCTGAATTAGATGGAATGATGCCTGATGGGAATTAAAATTAATCTGTGAAGCTGGGCCATTCAAACTATCATTTTCACACTCTCATGTCTTTCCAAAACTTCCTTCAGCTGAACGCCGAAGGTGAATTTGTGAAAAGATTGTATTGCTTGTATTGCTTCTGTTCAACTCAATAAAGACAAAAAATTATATTCTTGATATGCATGATATTCCATGCAGGGCACAATTTGGGGAAGGGAAAAAAATCGAATTGCTATTTTTTTTTTCCCTCAAAAAAAAAATTTTTTTTTTAAATAGTTTTGTAATTTCTAAATGCAATTTATATTTATATTAACTTTATATTAAGTGGCCTTAACTACTACATTTAAATTAATCAATTAGTACAATGCACTTATTGTGTTACACCTTAACCCACCCTTAAACCTACCCATACCACCAAACCTGTCCCTAACCTTACCCGTATCCCGCCTCAATAGCAGCAAAAGTTGTTTGCAATACAATTTGAACACAATAAGTACATAGTACTGTTTTTTTTATGTAAGTACATAATAGTTAAGGCCACTTAATATAAAGTGGGACCTTATATATTATATATAATAATAATAATTGTATTTTACGTTCCACCTGTAAAATTACAGTACTAATAATTCTTAATTTCTTCAATTTCAAACATTGAACCATCAACTTTTGTTTAGACAGAAAACCAAAGAAGCCCTTAAAGCTTCTCTTTTGCTGATACGTGTCTCAATACAAGCATGTGAAGGTGGTTGGTGCATGTTGCGTTTCCAAATGCATGTTAAAGTGACTCAAACGCAGATGCAGGTGGAGTTCATGTGAAGCAGCATTTACAGTAAAACAATCTGAGATGCTGCAAACACCGGCAAGTCATGAGCTGCTCACGTGTAATTGAACACAGTGTTGCCCTTCATTCTCAAACAAGCAGAATGCACGTTTATTTAATTAAATCACAGCCTTTGTGATTTGACGTGATAATGAATCATGCAGCAGCCCTCATTCCACATCTTCTGAAGTCATATGATTCAACAAACCTAAATTTAAGTTGCTACTCACTGAAAATCCACACCTCATTTACTTATATTGACATCAGTGACTGCTCAAGAGGCATGTGAGACCAGTGGAATCTAATACCCACCCTTAAACCTACCCATACCACCAAACCTGTCCCTAACCTTACCCGTATCCCGCCTCAATAGCAGCAAAAGTTGTTTGCAATACAATTTGAACACAATAAGTACATAGTACTGTTTTTTTTATGTAAGTACATAATAGTTAAGGCCACTTAATATAAAGTGGGACCAAAAATGATATATATAATAATAATAATTGTATTTTACGTTCCACCTGTAAAATTACAGTACTAATAATTCTTAATTTCTTCAATTTCAAACATTGAACCATCAACTTTTGTTTCGACAGAAAACCAAAGAAGCCCTTAAAGCTTCTCTTTTGCTGATACGTGTCTCAATACAAGCATGTGAAGGTGGTTGGTGCATGTTGCGTTTCCAAATGCATGTTAAAGTGACTCAAACGCAGATGCAGGTGGAGTTCATGTGAAGCAGCATTTACAGTAAAACAATCTGAGATGCTGCAAACACCGGCAAGTCATGAGCTGCTCACGTGTAATTGAACACAGTGTTGCCCTTCATTCTCAAACAAGCAGAATGCACGTTTATTTAATTAAATCACAGCCTTTGTGATTTGACGTGATAATGAATCATGCAGCAGCCCTCATTCCACATCTTCTGAAGTCATATGATTCAACAAACCTAAATTTAAGTTGCTACTCACTGAAAATCCACACCTCATTTACTTATATTGACATCAGTGACTGCTCAAGAGGCATGTGAGACCAGTGGAATCTAATAATCAGTTTTTAGCAAACAACGACTACATTTCTGTCTGTTCCTCATATAGAGCATCATGTACCTCATTTGTGTTCCTAAGCATGTTCGTTCACTTTTTTGGGGTGAACAATCCCATTAAAGACCATTATCGGTCTCAGATTGATGTGTGTGTTTTTGCAGTGGTGTCGGCGGGGTCAGTGTGTAAAGCAGGGTGATGAAGGTCCTAAGCCGGTTCATGGTCAGTGGTCATCCTGGTCTGGCTGGTCCAGCTGCTCGAGAAGCTGTGAGAGTGGAGTGACCTACAGAGAGAGACACTGCAGCAGCCCCAGGTACATCCACAGACGGCAGGCGTGTGAAGAGAGAGGGTCTCCACTCAAGTTTTTTGGCATGAAAAACATGCACAACAGGATTTCAAATTCTATATGTATCATCACTTGATACATATAATTGACGTATGTACAATACTGTTCAAAAGTATGGGTTCAGAAGGATTTTTTAAAGAAATTAATACTTTTATTCATCAAGGATGCATTAAATTAGCTAAAAGTGACAGTAAGGTCATTTATAATGCTACAAAAGATTTCTATTTCAAATAATAGAAATAAAATGTGTTGTGGTTTCCACAAAAATATTGTGCAGCACAACTGTTTTCAACACTGATAATAATCAGAAATGTTTCTTGAGCAGCAAATCAGCATATTATACTGATTTCTGAAGATCATGTGACACTGAAGACTGGAGGAATGATGCTGAAAGTCGCTTTGATCACAGAAACAGATATTCACATAGAAAACAGCTATGTTATGCTGTAACTGTAAATTGTATGTTTGATCAAATAAATGCAGTCTTGGTGAGCAGAAGAGACTTCTTTCAAAAATGTTGAAAAAAATCTTACTGACCCCAAACTTTTGAATAGTAGTGTCCATTTATGTCGCAAATTTCATTCAGATATCGATCTATTTTTATTTTTTTAGGGAATGACAAAAATAGTTAGCAAATATGTTCAGACTTGGTCTGTGTAGTTCTCTGTCTGTTAGCATTCCCATTCATCTCATCTCATTGCAAGAACAAAACGCTTCAGAAGTACCAGATTTGAATTGTCTCATCGTTGCTGGTGGAAACACAACATTTTCAGTCAGTCGGCTTTAGATGCCATGAAACTCTATAGAAGAAGGAAGGCTAACAGGAATGGAGACAGTGCTATGCACGTGATCCATCTCATGTGAAATACTGTAATTCTACATGATTTTTCATTTCCCACAAGCAGGAATATAATAAAAAAAACTCCTGCATGGAAAATTGCTGGCATTGTAAGTGGGTTTGATTCATGCTCTGATAATCATTCATCTTGTTCATCGTATGATGCTTTATGCACTGCTGCACTTTATATACAAACCTCTGCAGAAATTTCATTTTAAGCGTCAAGAAAATTGATTCCTTGTCAGAATAGAATGACATCTTAATTTCTTTGGCAATGCATCTCATTACTACAACAAACATTACAGCCGCTTGGCAACCATGAGTGATTGAATGAAGTTGCTGTTGCTGTAAATCAAGACGTGTCTCATGATCAGTTTCTTTTCTCGTCTTTTCTTCTCTCTCAGGCCCATGTATGGCGGCAGGTTTTGCGAGGGCTCGTCTCGCTCTTATAAACTGTGTAACACCGCTGACTGTCCTCAAAACGCCGTGGACTTCAGAGCTGCCCAGTGCGCCGAGTTCAACAACAAACCCTTCCGCGGATGGCACTACAAGTGGAAACCCTACACACGCGTGGACGGTTGGTCTAAACTTGCATTTCAATTGGTTGAGGGGATGCTTGAAAGAGATGAGGCGTAGCATTTGAGAAGAATCTGGATAAGAACATTATTCATGAAGCTGTAGTATGTTCAGCCTTCACATAATATTCACGCCCTTGAATTTTTCACATTTTCTTTCTCTTACTCCTCCAAATTGTAACACATGGAAAATGTGTCTTCCTCTTTCACCACACTATAAATTCAACACATTTACGCACCAAAAGAACATGAATGACTTTTCTCACCCCCCAAAGTCGTTCGCTTCTACACGGCCCTTTAGAAATGATGCATCTTCATGCAGGAATGAATGGAATCTCTGTTCTTCAGCACAAAGTGACTTGATATCTGATGAATTAGATGGAGAAAGTTGGATCAGGTTCTATCACAGATCTGACATATTTCAAACCATTTCGTAGTTTTTAACATGTGCTGTCCGCCTTCACACTTAATGCAGATCTTTGGACGACTGAACAAGTTCTCATGAAGTGACTTTCTGTATTTGGCTTCATCCATGTTTGCATTAATGGAAACAAGCTTTTTAGTTCCTCCTGAAAAACAATCCCAATGCATGATTCTGACATTTCTTCCATTCTTGATGACTTTCCCAATGTGATTCTGGAGCACAAAACCAGTCATAAGTGTAAATTTTTCGAAATTGAGTTTTATGCATCACCTGAAAGCTGAATAAATAAGCTTTCTGTTGATGTATGGTTTGTTATGATATGACAATATTTGGCTGAGATACAACTATTTGAAAATCTGGAATCTGAGGGTGCAAAAAAATCTAAATATTGAGAAAATCATCTTTAAAGTTGTCCAAATGAAGTTCTTAGCAATGCATATTACTAATCCAAAATTAAGTTTTGATATATTTGCAGTAGGAAATTTACAAGATATCTTCATGGAACATGATCTTTACTTAATATCCTAATGATTTTTGGCATAAAAAAATCTATCATTTTGACCAATACAATGTATTGTTGGCTATTGCTACAAAATAAAAAATTATCTACAGTCATTTTTGCTTATTAGTTTGGTTGAATTGGATCATCGTAGGTCAGCAGCAAAGACACTGGTTAATAAGATGGGATTAAATACACAAAGGGTATTTGTGTTAACATATAACATATAATAATTATTGCAGGTTTGCGTCATATTCCGAGTTTGCATTTGACTGTTTTTACTCATTTTGAGGGATACTGAATCTGTTTTTGTGTAAATGTTGACATTTAGTCTACATCTACAGTAGCATTAACTCTCAGATATTTTCTCAGATATTTTCTAGTTAATTCAAAAGTAATGTGTTACTTCACTAGTTACTTGAACAAAGTAATCCGATTGCATTACCCCCAACACTGTTAGATAATGGCTGGCCTTAGACTAGTTACTTGCAAGTAACTGAGTAGCTCTCAGCTGAAAATGTGTCTCTGGTCTCTATTAATGGCCGTTTACAGACTTCGTAATATTTCGAGACAAATTACATTTTGGAAAATGATTGCAGTGTAGTTTGTGTGCAAATCTGGAACAGGAATCGGTTGAAATAAAACAAAAAAAATGGTCGGTCGACCAGTGCATCTGTACGCCACTGTTTAAATTAAATATAGATGAATCATTGTTAAAGCTACAGAGTTACTCGCCAAGACGGGTATTTTGACTTACTTTTGTATGTATTTGTCCGTTCAAGCACAAGAAGATGCAGAACGACACTCAATCCGAGGCTCGCACGTTGTCAGAGATGCGAATGGAGCTGTCTTTCGCATCTTGAATGCTTTAAAATCGCTGTGAATTTTTAAATCAGCAAGGCTTAAAAACACGTGCAAATGATCACCTTTTGTGACAACGCAGCAGTGGCCCGATTGGACCAGTGACAAATTCATCAATTGTCCCGAGCGTCTTTAACACTGACCACGGGCCATCGGGCAGTCCTTATTGTCAAGCCCTGCATGTTCATTTCTACACTTATATTTCCTGTTCAATCGTGTTTTATCCACTTTTTCCCTTCCTAAAATAACTATGCTACTCTGTTTTTTCCCCACATCATTTATCACAGTTTTGTTTATTATAATGGATTTATGTAAATATAGTTTTAAGTTTGGACCCTTATAAGTGACTCATAAGGAACTTACCTGTGAAATAATAGTGTTTATGTAATCCAGAAATTAACAATAGGTAAAACATTAATTACATTTAAAAATAATGTTATATTCAAAAATATAATTTTTATGATTTGTGCCATGTCTCGTGTGTAGAGTACTACCGTGTGGTGACCATACCGGCTGGAGCGCGCAGCATCCGTGTGACGGAGCTCAACTCCTCCAGCTCTTATCTGGCTTTGAGGAATCTGCAGAGGAAATATTACCTGAATGGACACTGGACAGTGGACTGGTCCGGACGACACTCCATCGCTGGGGCTGTATTCGACTACAAGAGACCCTATAATCGTCCGGAGAGCCTCACCTCCACTGGACCCACCAATGAGACGCTGGTAGTTGAGGTAGTAGCTGCCTGTATCTTTTATATCTTCCATAATTACATAACTTTTTTTTCTGTTTATTCAGTTTTATTGCACTTTGTAATCAGGCATTTGGGCTCTGCTTCATTGGCTCTGTCTAGTGAGAGCATTGGGCTGCTGTGTCGTATTGCTGCTTGCCAAAGTCTGGTGTTATAGTGTAAAGCGTGCATCTCATCTACACCGTTTTCAAGCCAAAACAGCTCTAAACAAATATGTGGGTGGATTTTGATGTCAGAGATAACAGGAGATGGACTTTTTCACTGGAGGAAGAGTTATTATGGATTATGGACTCATATTTTGACCAAAAGCAATGGTTTGAAGTTAAAAACATTTTAATAATAGATGTGTTTCTTACAAACATGCAGCTTTTGGCTTTAGTCGTTAATTGATGGACTGGAAATGATATCATAGAGAGAATACCTGCAGTCCTTCATGTCAACAAGTCTCTTCAAATATCCAATAATTTCACATTTTTATCCATGGTTAGTTGGAAAATGGTGCGACTTCCCAAAAACTTCATGATATTTGTGAATATACACTCTAAAAAATGCTGGGTTGTTTAACCCAACTTTGGGTCAAATATGGACTAACCCAACTGTTGGGTTAAATTTTTCAATTACATTTTTAACCCAAAAGTTGGGTTAGTCCATATTTGACCCAAAGTTGGGTTAAACAACCCAGCTGAGTCTACTGTTTACCTTGAAAAAATGTATTTAAAAATTATAATGTGTACACATTTATTCAAGGTGTAATGAAAATATGTTATTACTGTCACATTAAAATTCAAATTCAAAAATTCAAAACCATATGAAACCAATATAAACTATAGCAACATTAACCAGTTCATTTCTAAGCTCTTTTTTTACTTACATTTTTAAAACATATTTCCTCTGTTGATATTTATATGTCACTGACTCTTATGTCATGCATATGGAAACTATCAGTGTTACTCTACAAAATGGAATTATGGTTAAGAGATTTGAATGTGTTAATTGCAGAATGTTCTGATAGCAGGAGACATTGTTGAGCATCACAGCATGTGGGCAGGGTTGTCCTCAAGAAATGAAAGAAGGATGGTTGTGTGATTTCCTCTGTGGTTGATAGTGTGCATTAGGTCTTGTGTTTGTCCCTGCACAGGTTCTCATGCAGGGCTGGAACCCGGGCATTCAGTGGGAATACACACTGTCCAAAGAGCATACAGACCGACGCAACCAGCCCAAACACAACTACACATGGGCCATCGTTCGCTCGCAGTGCTCAGCCACCTGTGCAGGAGGTACGCCGTCAGTCTGAACATTACACTGCAGTCACATGTTCAAACGTTAACACTTTAACTGAATCAGTCTGCTGCGGATCTTCTGGAGGTTTGTAACTCTAGTCCAGCCTAAGCTCATGAAGCCCTGCTGATTGCAATACACCTAAATTCTTTCTTAAGCACTGATTACATTTACACATGTTCATTATCAAATGCATATGCACAGAAAACAAATCTGAATCAAAATTCTGTTTTCAGTGGCACATTTACATTTATGCATTTGGCAGAAACTTTTATTCAAACAAACTTGTATTGCATTCAAGGTATTGCTTTTCATCGGTTCATGCATTCCTTGGCAAACAAACCCATGATGACCTTGGCGTTGCTAGTGCATTGCTATTATTTAAAATTGTTATTCACTGACAATCTAGACCGCTCTATATGGCACTTTCCTGAGAGTTTATGAGAGAAGCAGCAATATCAGATTTGTCAACAATTCCTTCTTTTGAATCGGACCTTTTCAATTAATCATTTGATCCAGTTCACAAAATCAGTCTGAAAGATGTATTAATGCATCAGATTTTATAGGATTAATGAACACATTTCAACCTGTTATCCCTTTTGAAAAAGAAATCCACATAACTGTGCTTAATGTGCACTTGTGTGCACTTCAGATCTTAAAAAGTATATATATATATATGTGTGTGTGTGTGTGTGTGTGTGTATGTGTATGTAAAAAAAAATTATACTTGCAGATAAAATAAAATTAATGAAATAAATGGTCACTTAAGGGACTTAAACTAGACACTTTCTTGACTGTTTCTTATCACTTAAGAAGACTTTTAAAAAGTGCACTTTGTAATGATGTCAAATTAAAACATAGACATTTTAAATTATGTTTTAACCTTTTGTATAGAAGTACACTTATTTTGATGTGTTGACTAACATACTAAAGAACATATTTGTTTATAATTTTAACTGTAGTGTGTTATTTAAAAAATTTATTTAAAATTAATATATGTTAAAATGACTACATTTTTAAGTTTTTAGTTTTTTTAAGTTAATTTAAGTATATTTTAGTTTATCATAAATGATTGTCAGTATGTTCAGCAGTAACACTTTAACCATATTTCAATAGACAATAGAAGAAATTATGAAATTACATATAAAGATGTACTTAAGTCCCACTTGAGTGTGTCATAAAATGATAAAAAATTGCATAATATAAATTTAATCTATAATACATTGTCATTCAATTGCAATTAACATGTAACATTACATTCAGTTCACACTTAAGCATATATTTTAAAGAATATGAATTCCAAAAATAAGTAGTATACTTATTAAAAGTATACTCAAGTGTACTTCTTTTTCACCAGGGATTCTGTAAAACATGTTGCACTTTTTAATTAGTTAATCTCTCTGCATGAATCCATACTCTAAATGATCAGAGAGAAACCCAGCAGCATTGTTGTGTGTTTCTCAAGCGTATCTGCTGTAACTCTATAGTTGAGCCTCAGGTGAGTCTCTATGGTCTGTTCCCATCATTAGTGCTGACCCGTTTATGAATGATCACAGGACATGGCTTTATGACCATTATGTTCATATCAGCTCAAATTCATCACTGTGGAATCACATTTTGGTGCACTGTATGTAAGTCCTTTTGTTGTTTGCTCCTCAGGTCAGATGGTCAGTAAAGCAGTCTGCTACAAGGATCTGAGGCTGCAGGTGAACACGTCTTACTGTAACTCACGGTCTCGGCCGTCCACCGGTGTGACGTCCTGTAACACACAGCCCTGTCCCGCAAGGTAACGCCTTCACTGACCTCCTCTCATCTGCTCACACACTGAGAGAGACCTTTCTAGAGAAAGGAACCAGTGTTCATTTAGTATTATGTATTTAGCATTGTAGTATGTATTCATATTTTGAATTGTCTTTTATTTTTATTATTCATTGTAATTTAAGTTTAGGTTTTAGTAATTTGTTATCATTTTTATTAGTTTTTGTTGTTGCTGTTGTAGATTTTTTAATATTTCAAAAATAACACTCCTTCAACTTGCCAAAGCAACATTTTTAAGTTTCATTTAAGTTTTAAGTTTTTAATGTAATTCAGGTGTGTTTTATTTCATTTCAGCTTTATTTCAATTAACAAAAACGTTTTTTAAAAGTTTTAGTTAACAATAACAGCTCTGAAAGGAACCTCTCAATCAGAGTTTGTATGTTTACTCCTCTTCTAATATCAGTCTGAAAACAGTAGCTGACAAGTTCAATTCAGTTCAATTCAGTCATCTTAAATTACATACTTTTATTTATGTATTTATTTATTTATTAGGGATTAGGGATTTAACGATTCACTCAACTCACGATGTGATTTTCTCACAATTGTTATTAATAAAATGAGATTTAAGGCAAATTATAAATGAAAAGGTGTCCTTTTATTATTTCTCAGACAAAATGCTGCAAATTGAAATATGTCAAATAACAAAACTAAATAGAAATGTTAAAACGTCAACCACAGCATTTTACTCACGATCCAAACAAAGATGCTGCATACACGCAGCATGAGCAGTTTTGATTTAAATTAGATTGTATAATTTAGAAATTTGAAGCAAAAACAGAACGGTCTCACTTTAGCTTTGTGAAACTTTAATACATAAAACATCTGCATGAAACAGAAACAGCAGAAGCTCTGAATGAGATGCAGATTCACTCTCTGCCAGCAGGTGGCGCTTATAGAACAGCAGATCCAGCTTTTCCTTGGTTACCGCTGTAAACAAAGCAGCGCTGCGCTAATAAACACTGCTTTAATATGCATTATACGGAGGCAAGATCACTGTTCTGAAGACAGTCAGTTCCCCTCAGAGATACATACTGTATTGCGATTAGTTTAACATCTCAACCGATTTGAATTGTCACATATTTTTTATCGATTTTCAAATGACTCGGGATGCATCGTTACATCCCTAGCAGCGATGCAATAGAAGAACCATCTTGGCTCTCCAAAGGACCTTTTATGAACTATTTTTTTCTTAGTGTGAAGAGGATTTCAGTAACCTGAAGAACCTTTTGCCAATGCAATGGCTCCATGCAGCTATAGTTCTTCATGGAGCCATTAATGCCATTGTTTTATTATCAAGAGTGTATTTGACATGAGACACAGATGTTGTCTGTTCTCATGTCACTGCAACAGATCTCTGTCTGTGTGTGTGTGTGTGTGTGCATATTTATGTGGTTTATGAGGACACAAATTTGTATAATAACATGGGTATGGTATAGGTATTACAACGAGAAGGTGATTTATGAGGACATTTTCAGTGTCCCAATAATTCAAAAGGCTTATAAATAATTCAGAATGAGTTTTTTTGAAAATCTAAAAATGCAGAAAGTATTGTTTTATTATCAAGAGTGTATTTGACATGAGACACAGATGTTGTCTGTTCTCATGTCACTGCAACAGATCTCTGTCTGTGTGTGTGTGTGTGTGTGTGTGTGCATATTTATGTGGTTTATGAGGACACAAATTTGTATAATAACATGGGTATGGTATAGGTATTACAACGAGAAGGTGATTTATGAGGACATTTTCAGTGTCCCAATAATTCAAAAGGCTTATAAATAATTCAGAATGAGTTTTTTTGAAAATCTAAAAATGCAGAAAGTCTCCTGTGAGGGGTAGGTTTAGGGGTAGGGTTGGTGTAGGGCAATAGAAAATACAGTTTGTACAGTATAAAAACCATGGAGAGTCCCCATAAACCATAAAAACAAACCTGTGTGTGTTCAACCTCACTCCTCATGTTTTCTCGTGTACCTCATCAGATGTTTTAGAAGCATCTCCATGGCAGCGTCATGCATGGCAAGTTTTCGTTTCACATATCAATTCTGGTCCAGCTAGACTCCAGGGCAGAGTAATTCCCAATAATGTCCAATGGCTTAGAATGACGCTCAAAATCTCAGTTCCCAGAGGTCCAGCGCAGCTGACAGAGAGACACCGAACAGCTCCTCACGCAGTGTCTCTGAGAGCTGCTCTTAAAGCATTAACGTGTCTGAGACTCCCGTAAACCTGCCCGATGCTCAGCTGATTGTTTCCCAAGTGTAGTTGTGTTTTCTTTGGCGGTGAGATCCAGCTCTTTCTCCCCCGTCTCTTATTCTTGCTCAGTTTCTCACATAGCTTCGGTGTAAGAGGCAGATCACGCACTATAATCCTGCTTAGCATCTACATCTGTATGCCGTCATTAACACACAAAACACACAGCTGCTCATGCTGATGGGAAAACACTGCGCTGCTGCTTCTCCCCTTTCACTTATCCACTCAAAGACCTGAGCATCTCTAAATAAGAAGAAGAAGAATCATAATTATCATAACAATATATTTTATTTTTGTTGCATGTATACTTAAAGTCAGGCATGTACAGAAATCATTCTATAATTCTAATTCTATAAATTATATATGTTCACTACCGTTCAAAGGTTTGGGGTCAAGTTTTTTTAACATAACTTTTTAATATTTTTATTCATTAAGGATGCATTAAATTGAAAAGTGTCAGTAGAGACATTTATAATGTTACAAAAGGCTTATATTTCAAATAAATCTTGCTCTTTTGAACTTTCTATTCATCTGTGAATCCTGAAAAATAAAATGCATCACAGTTTCCACACAAATATTGTGCAGCACAACTGTTTTCAACATTGATAATAATCAGAAATGTTTCTTGAGCAGCAGATCAGCATATTATACTGATTTCTGAAGATCATGTGACACTGAAGACTGGAGGAATGATGCTGAAAATACAGCTGTGGGAGACACAGATATTCACATAGAAAACAGTTATTTTAAACATATTTTTACTGTTTTTACTGTATTTTTGGTCAAATAAATGCAGCCTTGGTGAGCAGAAGAGACTTCTTTCAAAAACAGAAAAAAAATCTTACCAGTCTTAAAATTTTTGATAGTAGTATATGTATGTATGTTTTTTAAATGTAAATAATATTTTAATCTAATTAATTATATGATATGCCTATTAATTAAAAATAATTTTCTTGTATTAATATTTGCTGAGAAAAGCTTTTGATGTAAAGATAATTCAGAGCATTTTTATGGATGACCGAAGGTATTAAATACACAAATATTTAATCAAAAAGTTATGCCTTTAAAGGAGCTTGTCTGATTTCCATTGGTAAAAAATTCCAGTTTTGGGGTAATAAAGCATTTTAAGCCTCTAAAGCTGCACTTTAACACATTCACCTGGATTGAGAGAACCTGCATCCCATGAGCCTCTGAGCCTCACAGCGCTACATATGAGTTTAGTGATTGAAACAAACAGGCCTTTTCCCCAGTGCCTGTGAGAACATGCTTCATCCATCATGTTTGCATGAAGGTAAAGCTGGTTTGATGGCTGACAAAGAAGGGCATTGCCCAGTAAACATTGTTGGGATGAATTGGCCCACTGATGGGTGTCTGGCAGCCTGGTCTGGGCGAGGCAGGGTGAAGGGTCACCTTGGCCAGCTAGCACGTCTCGGGTGTACCCTACATTACTCACATGTTGGCATCACGTTCAACCATTCCTGGGACAGTGACAAAGGTGACATCACAACCCTGACCCCAGATCAACACTAAATCTGGACAGTTGTAGACCAGCACGCGGTTATTGGATTTGACAATTCATGCAGGGAGATCCGAGAAACAGAGACCGTGACACTGATCGCTAGAGACACAAGAGAGGCTGCGCTGCGTTTTGTAAGTTTGTTGTTTGTTGTTGTTGCTTCTATGGTTTTTCGTGATGTTTGACGTTCAAATGCAAGTTTTTGTGATTTCAGATGTCAGAACTGTTATTATTTATCCTGCATGATTGTGCAACAACCTGTTCTGACAGAATAATTTGAGCTGAGACAATGCAAACGAGAAATATGCGCTGATTTATAATGGAGGATCCTGAATATGCAGTGAGCTCATGTCTCTTAAGGAGACGCTGGAGAAACGCTCTCATGATGAAGGTTCATGCTTAACCTGCTGCTGTAAAACAAGCACGTCCTGCAGGATTACTGTGAGGGTTTGGGTCTGCTGGGACTGAGGAGAACCAGACGGGACCGGCTTTAATGCGAGGGAAGAGTGACACGTTAAACTCAAACTAAATATCATCTGAGCTTTTTTTAATTACCTTTTTAATGATGTTTGCAATTTATGCAACCTTGTTATGAACATTGTGAATGTAAAAATACTAGGGTTACACTCAAAAAACAAATGGTTTTTGCTCAAATAAATAAATCAATAAAAATAATGCAACAGTTTGCACTGATCATTTTGAGTTACGGCAACTTCTAATGGAATTAGGGTCAACCAACAAACTACATTAACTAAACAATAATAAAATAGGACTTAATTTAAACTTCTATTCTGCTTATCCAGTCCTGTGCAAGCTAGAAATGCACTAATTAAGAAGTTAATACACCTTATAAAAAATGTTTTACACACAATATTAAGTAAAATAATGTTTGCAACTTAAATCAATACATTGTTTAACTTGCAACCATGCATATACTGTACTTATGTTGTGGTAACAGGTCCCTTGAATTTCTTGAATTTAAGTTCACTTAAATTAAAAGTTGCTATAATAGTTATAATGTTCTGTGTTATGTTTTTATTTATCATTTATTAACAGTCTGATAATTTTCAGTTTTGGCCTGGCTTTCAATGATGTTGTAATGATGAATGGCGATAATTATTCATTGTATACCCAAAAAACCTCAGTTTAATAGAGTCATCCATATCAATATTGATATCAATGATAATGACCATCATTAGAAGCCATTA